AGGAACGGGTCCTTGAGTTTATATATATATATATAATATGATTCTCAGAAACCTTGGCTGCTTGTTCATGTTGCTTGCTTTACAGATTGTGGACAGGTGGGAATTTCCAACACGAGTCTTTCCACTGTTGTGGGTTCACATACGACGAGCGTCTGGCCGCATGTTCCTCAATTAGAGGCTGTCAAAGCATTGGTAGTGCAGCGCGTGATTTGAACTTTTAATTCCTGACATGCCTGAGGTTCGGAGGATCATGGCAAGAACATCAGCGAGGAAGAATGGGCAAGGATCCAAGAAAGAGGTTCCAATTCTCCCATTTTGTAAATTGATCATTACCTGGGCTTACCGTGCGTGTTAGAACGGACAAGGGTCAGGTCGACGCCGGGTGGCAATGGAGCCCACTGGTCCCGTAATACAGAAGGGAAATAGACGACATTTTCTGGTTCTCTCTCATTCTGACTGACGACCCTTTGGTTCATTCTGAGTCGAGCTGCATTTGAGAGTGGTGGAGTAGCCTGTTGCGTATTAGGTTTGATTCCAGTCTTGATCATTGGTACGCGCAGCAATGTTGTGCTCAGCTGTAGCCAGAGTGCACGTTTTGAAGCGAAATGGCTACAACTGAACCGGATGAAAAGTCGCTTGTCTAAGCACATTGAGTGAAAAAATACCCATACCAAGCACAAAAGCAGCTTTCAATGTAGTCCTTCGCCGCACGCCAATAAGGAAGAAATCAACCTTGACAACCTTGTACTTGTCTGCCTTCCTGAGTGTTGCACAAGCGGTGATCACAATCCAGTCTGAGCCCAGAATCATCAAGGAGCCCAAGCGGCCCAAGCATAACAGTCAAAACAGGTTGTAATGTTGTGACATTGCTTCCTTTTACTGAAGGGATTTGAAAAGGAGGCTATCACAAGAAACGAACGATATGCTGATATGCTCGTCGAAGCCAGTAAGGGTAGCATCCGACGCACGGTCTTTTGGAAGAAACGAACCAAGTGACAGGATTTTTTCATGGCTTTGATGACACAAGGCATTCAGAATGAATTGACAGATTAGGCGGCTGTGTTGAGTCTGAAAGCAGGAGAGGGGAAGGGAATGAAAGGAGGTGAGTGAGCGGATAGACCGATGGGCTTTCAAGTTTTGTTGCAAAGATTGGAACGCATTGGATATTTCCCATGGCCTATGTGTGTGTTCGCTTGGAATTGCCTCGGGGACACGGAACTTCTCCACTCCACCTATCAGCAACAACATCTTTTTGGAGGAACTTGGGACAACCATTCTTCCAGCATCCACGCAGCCCCGGAGCCATTGCCACGCCCTTTCCTGCCCTGGCACAAGTGCTAGCCTGCTATTGTTGAAATTGATCCCACTGCCTGAATTCATCGACAGAATACGCCAACCTAAATTACTTTACTTCGAGTGATCCCCACCATGACATTTCAATCATTTGACTTGATGCCATAGTGAGGAGCATGTTGCCATGGTCGTGAGTATTGTAGTTCTCGATTTTGCTTTTGGGTCCTCGGGTTGTGTGCTGCGGTTGTGTGTTGTGGTTGTGGTTGTGGTTGTGTGCTGTGTTGTGGTTGTGTTTGTGTTTGTGATTGTGTGTTTGTGGCTGTGTGTTTGTGATTGTGTGTTTGTGGATGTGTTTGCGGTTGTGCTTGTGGCTGTACGTTTGTGGTTGTGTCTTTGTGGTCGTGTTGTTGTGGTTGCGTGTTTGTGGTTGTGTGTTTGTGGTTGTGTTTGTGGTTGTGTGTTTGTGGTTGTGTGTTTGTGGATGTGTTTGTGGTTGTGTTTGTAGTTGTGTGTTTGTGGTTGTGTTTGTGGTTGTGTGTTTATTGTTGTGTCTCTGTGGTTGTGTGTTTGTTGTTATGTTTGTGGGTGTGTGTGTGGTTGTGTTTGTGGTTGTGTGCTGTGGTTGTGTTTGTGATTGTGTATTTGTGATTGTGTGTTTCTGGTTGTGTTTGTGGTTGTGTGTGTGGTTGTGTCTTTGTGGTTGTGTCTTTGTGGTTGTGTTGTTGTGGTTGTGTGTTTGTGTTTGTGTTTGTGTTTGTGTGTCTATTGTTGTGTGATTGTGGGTGTGCGTTTGTTGTTATGTTTGTGGTTGTGTTTGTGGTTGTGTGTTTGTGGTTGTGTCTTTGTGGTTTTGTTGTTGTGGTTGTGTGTTTGTGGTTGAGTGTTTGTGGTTGTGTGTCTGTGGTTGTGTGTCGATTGTTGTGTCTTTGTGGGTGTGTGTTTGTTGTTATGTTTGTGGTTGTGTTTGTTGTGTTGTTTGTGGTTGTGGTTGTGGTTGCGTGTTTGTGGTTGTGTTTGTGGCTGTGTGCTTGTGGTTATGTGTTTGTATTTGTGTGTTTGTGGCTGTGTTTGTGGTTGTGAGCTTGTGGTTGTGTGTTTGAAGCATACTATCTGCCATTCAATCTGCCATTCTATCTGGCAATCTATCTGACATACTATCTGGCATACTGTCTGGCAGTCTATCTGGCATTTTGTCTGACATTCTATCTGGCATATTTTCTGGCATTCTATCTGGCAATGTATCTAGCAATCTATCTGACACACTATTTGGCATACTATCTGGCATATCTTCTTGCAGCATTCTATCTGGCAATCTACTTGACAATCTATCTGGCATTTTATCTGGCAAACTATCTGGTTGAGGTCCAGCGGTGCACACTGCGATCGGATCCTTGCGGTTGAGGTCCAGCGGTGCACACTGCGATCGGATCCTTGCGGTTGAGGTCCAGGGGTGCACACTGCGATCGGATCCTTGCGGTTGAGGTCCAGGGATGCACACTGCGATCGGATCCTTGCGGTTGAGGTCCGGGGTGCACACTGCGAGGGGATCCTTGCGGTTGAGGTCCAGGGGTGCACACTGCGAGGGGATCCTTGCGGTTGAGGTCCAGGGGTGCACACTGCGATCCGGAGCTGGCCAGACAAGATCGGCGAAGCAGATTGGCGAAGCAGACTGGCGATGAAGATTGGCGATGCAGATTGGCGAGGCGATGAAGATTGGCGAGGAAGGAAGCAAGGAGGAAGGAGGAAGGAAGGAGGAGGAGGAAGAACAACTGTGAAAAAATCTAACAACCCTCACCTGGCAGGTGGGGGAAAAGATTTGGACACACAGGGAGAAGACTTGCGCACGACGTGCCAAGAAAGCACACCAGTGGACGGGATTTCAATAGTGCCAAGTGATTCTTGAAGCAACTTGCTTCGAGGAGCTATCAGGCGGAGACTTGGGTGTCACAGCTACAGTTCTGGCAAATACACAAGGCTTGGTTGGTCTGGCGAGTGTTTTTGTGAACCAGAAGCTTGGAAGATAATGATGGCTATCACCGAAACGCCGGCCTGCAGGATAGCTCACGCCACATCTTCCACATGTTACAGTAGTTTTTTTTGTCCCAAGTTTGCTGTTAAAAGTTGTGCAGACAACCAGATGTCCAGATGCTCTCGTTCCAACCGGGTTGCTCATATCCGCACCGATGCCTCCTCACTGCTTGCACTGCTGATACTTGATACTGTTTTGACACCCTCTTGCTCCCTGCCTTCTGCACTCATTTATCATTGTTTTTCTGAAGCTGCACAATCACGCTTTTCTCTGCTCTTGCTTCATGCTGCTCACATTTGATTTCCTTTGAATATACTTTATTCCAGTGAAAGACTGTGCTAGCTTGCTCCTTAGATACCCACCTAGTCTCTGGTTCAATGTTGTAGCCTGTGGCTGATCACGCTTTCAGAGGTCAGAGCTCATTGTCGGTTGGTGCATTATCTGATCTTTTCCTTGAATGATGTCCTTCACGTGCCTTCATGCTTCTTTGCCTGTTCGAATTTTGCAAGAATCGGCTTTGTTTTTCCTTGGCTTAATGTGCTTCTGTGCTGTGAGTGGAGTGTTGAAGGATCACATTCGTCCTTATTTCAGAAGCGAGTTATCCTTTTTCCGCTCACTGTAGCCCCTCAAAAGTCTTCAACAACGGACATATTGCAATTGCAGTCCTGCTTGCAACAAATGTCCGAACTGTTGCAGCCAAGGGCCGGAGGAAAGCTCTCAGATGCCATGGGACGGAAACCATTTCTGATGTTGGGCCCGGCTGCAAACATACTTTTTGGACACTTGATGAAAAGCTAAAGTCTATGCGTTTCTTGCTGGCTCATGGCCATATGAATGGAGGAGTAAATTGAAAAGCTGTACTCAATAGCCAAGGCTTGCTGATGTATCAATACTCAAAACTTCGCAGGGTAGTCTTGCTGGGTGCTCAGTGCGTGCAGAAGCAGGAAGATGAACAAGGTGGTGTGGACAGTGCCGCTTGGAAGGCCAGTGCGAATCCTGAGAGCAATACTCACAACTTTCTCAAGCTCAGTGATGCTGACGGCAGCTATGTCTCTTGTTCGCAATGATTTTGTCATGCCGCGCATGTCCAATCAACAATATCTCAAGCGCTTGCTGTTGCAGTTGGGCTGTCCAATCAAGTGGCTGAATTGAAAGGTCCGACATCACTAGCGGAGCACAGCTGAGCACCGCACTGAGCAACATGGGTGCCTCGATGGAAGTAGGATTTAACCTTGAAGGATGTGGACAGGAGCCCAGCTCAGGACAGCCGCAGCGAACTTTGAAAGGTTATCAGTTAGCTACATCAAGTAGAAAACCACTGGCTGCCGCTCTTTTGTCCCTTTTGAGTGGGATGCACAGCTTACCCTCATGACATGATTTCCAGAGGAAAGCGACTCGGATGCTCTACTATTGCATCCTACTATATCAATACCGAGGTACGTAGAAACAACCTGGGTAGGCATGCAACATACACCACTGCTGGGAGTGAGCACGCATACACACACACAAGCATCCAAACAATCTGAACAAAGGGAATGAACAAGCCTGGAAAAGAAAGACGCCAGACAACTCCGCAAGATGAGAACGAGGGAGTAAGAATGCGTGAGAACTTGAGAGGACATATGTGGAATTGCCTTTGGGGAAAATCCCATCCAGACAGTTCAGACACTGGACATTATCGGACCACAAGTTGGGAGACGAGCTGAAAAGGAAGTGACCCACTATAAATAAAAGGACCGGATAACCCCACATGATAAGTTTTACAAATTTCAATTGTATATGAACATCACATGGGAGACGGAGTAGTGAGATGAAAAGTCAAGAACGAAGTGTGAGGAGAGAAGGTATATGAGGCGGTTGTGCTAAGACGTGTAGTATAAGTGATGATGTGATGGACGAGGATGAGAAGGAGGGGAGGGAGGAGGTGTGTGTGTGTGTGTGGTAAGATGGCGTGCGTGTGTGTGTGGGTGTGTGATAAAGTGTCTGATGATGTGATGAACAAGGATGAGAGGGACGAGAGAGAGAGAGAGAGAGAGAGAAGGAGGCGGAGAGAGAAGTTTGGAGGCCCTGGATTTTGCGATCAGATCCGCATGAGACCTTCACAGATGTTGGCCAGATCCGCATCAGATCCGCAAATGCAATCGGCGTTTCACAGATGTTGAAAAGAAACATGTCATGAAAACATGTAAGTAAGTGAATCAAAACATGTCTGCTGCAACCACGTGAGTTTTTGTGATGACAACCATGGCCAGAGAACTTTCAAAACAAGATTCAGAACGGTCGTGCTAAACTAGAGAACTGCAAATCACAATGGCAGTAGCGCAGAGACAGGCGTCACCAACACCCTCGCCGCAGCATTTACAATGCGATTCGCAGGCATTGATTGCCCTGGCTGTGCAAATCACAATGGCAGTAGCGCACAAACACACTCTGCCAACTTCCGTGCCGCAGCCATTACAATGCGATTCCGAACCAGTGAGAACATGTGAGAACCCTTGCTGTGGAAATCACAATGGCAGTAGCGCACAGAGACATGTTGCAAACATCCGTGCCGCAGCCATTACAATGCGATTCCAAACGAGTGAGAACCCTTGCTGCGCAAATCACAATGGCAGCCCCTTCTGGAGGCTCTGGATACTGCGCCTGCCACGCGGAAAGCAGCCAGCGGCACCAGCGGCGACAACACGCGCCACAGCCCCTTCTGGAGGCTCTGGATACTGCGCCTGGCACACGGAAGACAGCCAGCGGCACCAGCGGCGACAACGCGCGCCACAGCCCCTTCTGGAGGCTCTGGGTACTGCGCCTGCCACGAGGACAGCCAGCGGCGCCAGCGGCGACAACGCGCGCCGCAGCCCCTTCTGGAAGCTCTGGGTACTACTGCGCCTGCCACGAGGAAGACAGCAAGCGGCGCCAGCGGCGACAACGCGCGCCGCAGCCCCTTCTGGAGGCTCTGGGTACTGCGCCTGCCACGAGGAAGACAGCAAGCGGCACCAGCGGCGACAACGCGCGCCGCAGCCCCTTCTGTGGGCTCTGGGTACTGCGCCTGCCACGCGGAAGGCAGCCAGCGGAGTGAGTGAGTGAGTGAGTGAGTGAGTGAGATGATGAGATGAGTGTGTGTGTGTGTGTGAGATGATGAGATGATTGTGTGTGAGGGAAAGAGGTCAGATGTGTGTGTAAGAGAAGGACGGAGGAGAGAAGGACGGAGGAGGGAAGGACGGGCGGGCGAGCGGGCAGAGTCGGCGGGATGGCAGCCAAAAAACTAGAACCCCACACAGAGATGTGGGGAACAAACCTCTTCCGGGGACAATGACCTCCACACATGTTTGCAAAGCTTTATCCGCTTTTCTATCCGCTGATCAAGGGAGTTGAGTAGGAATTCAGATACAGACAGAGTTTGGAAGAGTGCTTTATATATAGTGTTTGGAAGCACAGTGAGGGTGGAATGAGAGTCAATTTTGTCAGATTGTTGTTGCTGGTGGAAACTCTCGTGCTTTCCTCGTCAGGTGCTGCGGTTGGAGCCGGAATTGTGCTGACGCCATTCCTTGAGTCTTTGTGCCAGTGAGATTCCATTTGTTTGATGGTTGTATTCTGGAGTTTTGCTCAACCCTAGTGCCCTAGTATTGTCACTGTGATATAGCATTCAAGGAGTATGAGCCTAGTTTCAACATCAAGGCAGTCTTGATATGTTTTTTGTTTCCAAGTTGCAAAAAGTTGCAGTTGGTGCGTGGGTGATGGTGGGCGCGGTAGTCAGAGGGCAAAACGAAGTCCTGGCGGATGTTTCGACACTATTGCCTGCGTGGCAGGGCTGCGCGAACGCGTTTGGACATGTTTTTCATGTCGCTGCCATTGGGGAGTAGATTCCCACAAGTCAGAACAAGATCCATGACTGTGCGGGAATGGAATACGAAAGGGTGATAATCAAATTGCTAGTCCGTAACACTGGGGGAATGGAATCGGAGTCACGGCTCTGAGACCAGGGAAAATACCGGAAGTAGAGTAGAGACTTGCAAAGACAAGCGCACCTCCGCCAAGCGTCACTGATAGCGCTATTGCCCCTTCCGCAAGGATACTACAGTATGACAGTGCATCTTCCCATTGTAGTCCACAAACCTTTTGCGCGCCTGGATAGATATCCGCCAAAATAATGATCACAACAAAACAACAAACACCAACAGCAACCACAGTAACTACATCTGCACGCAAACAAAAATCCAGATAAAACTATCCACAAGTAGAGCCTCCGAGTTCAGCAGCTGAAAGTAGAGATTTCTAGAGAGAAGTGGCCAAAAGCAGATACTGTATTCCTATATAGATGAAAATAACCCAAAGCAAGTAAATGTCCAGCGAAAAGTAATCCAAAGTACAGATTTCCAGAGGCAAGTAAGATAAAGTAGACATTTCTAAGGAATGGTAACCAAAAGCTGAAATTTATACTTTGCGCTTCGCCACACTACGCTTCACCAGGACACAAGCCACCTCGCTACATTTCACCACATCCGAACCACCTCAACACATTTCACTGCATCATCAGACATCATCACATGACCTTTATCATCGAACCACTCATCACCTTTCTTGTGCACACAAAGCACAGTCCTAGAAATGATATATATATATACATATAAAATATTGTATATGTGTTTCCGCCCACTTTGCGGAGGATTACCTCGTCTCCTACGGTGTAATTCTGCCGTGCTGTTGCAGCGCTTGTTGTTGGCAATCCTCATCAGGTCAATGTGTTTTACAAGGGCTTTGCCAACTCCCCTACTACCAAGGAGACCTTGATTCTGCAACGCTTCAAGACTGAGACAGTGTACTTGGCGCCCTTTGGTTACAGTTGCTTCAGCAAGATGGACCTTGAGTCACAAGCTGCACTTTCTGAGGCTATCTATGTTTGGCTTTGCTCCTCAGTTGAATGGTGCAATAATGAGTGTACTGTATTCATTGCGACTGTTTGTGCCGAGTTCTTGAGGTGCACGTCCTTTTTGCTGCTGGAGCGGTCCCCGAGACACATGGCAAGGCTTTGCGGAAGTCCTGGTCATCTGTGTTGCAGCTGCTTGAAGTCAACCTAGCTGCTTTCTTCAGTCCTTTGAAACTGATCGGAATGTAAGGCTTTCAGCTATCAACCCTTTTGGGTTCTTGAGACTTTTCTGCACAGAGGACTGAAGACACCTTTAGTGATTCTTGTAGCTTTTCTGTTGTTTCAGTCAGATGTTTTTGCCAAGGAATATCTTTCGACGAGGGTCTTTAGCCCTTCAGAAGATGACCATTATTCAATCACTGCAGATGTTTCTGGAAGGAAAGAACTTGAGCGACTTCATGGAGCTTTGGAAAAGGGAACATTTGCATTGGACCGTTGAGGGCAGTCGGAATTTCGTGATGGTCTATGGGACGCTGAGCATTTTGTCTGGAATTTTTGTGACACCATACTTCCTGAAGAATCTTTCGGAACGTTCCTTTACATCAGAAGCTTGGCTGGAATGACAAGAAGTACCTTAACTTATGCTTTTGTCCTTTCCTAGAGCACCTTGGCACCTTGTGTCTTTTTTTTTCTCGAGCCGTTCCAGGTGACGAATATGCTGAACTTCCTTGGGTTCATGCTTCGGGGCGCGAGGGAGTCATCCTGGATCTTTTTGCTTGCAGTTATTCCCATGTACCCCAACTGCAACTGAGCAAGCTTTGCAGGATTTTTCGCGAGCAAAAAAACACCTATCTCAAGCTGAACTCATGAGCAATATAATTAGATGTAATTATATAGTGTTTGGGACGGAGAGCAGTTCCCCAGGCTCCCTGGAGTGAATGGTTCGAGCGCAACTGCACTGAAGTCGCTCAGCACTGACTTGGCCTTTTCTGAAGGCTTCGGAAAAGGCCGCAGCAGAACGCAGCAAAACCATCCACTTAAAGAACTCATATGAGAGCCAAGCAAAGTGGACAAAAAATATGCAAATGCACATGGAAGGTGAGTTTTCAGCTTACATCAACAACCTGCGTGCGTTGGCCGGGGCTGCTGCTACGGCTCTTGGACAAAGTTAGGTCGTAGGTTGTGCTTCCATTCTTGTTTGACTGTGTTGTTTGCTTGCAAATGCCAAGGTTTTGTATGGGAACTACTACGCATGGTGCAAACGGAAGGGATGCTTTGCTGCACAGAATGTGCTTCACACTAGACTTGTGATCAACATCATTTCATTTAGAAGCTACCCATGCCACCGCCCAAGCCGCGACACACACACACACACACTTAGATAGATAGATGGCTCGCAAGAGCAGCGTCAGTTTTGAGAGTCCCTTGAAGTTAGCACTTTGACGTTACTGCAATAGACCTTGGCCGTGCCCTTTTTTGGGAAAAACGAATCGACTAAGCGAGCCTGAAAAGCAACTTAAACAGCTTCGAGAGGAAGGCCTAACAAACGAAACGAAAACCAGAAGAGAAAGGTGCGTGCGGG